TATTTCTCTGTGGTCTCTGATTTGTGCACAATATACACTTTTCAGGAAAATTGCATCATTACATCATGTTTCATTATGCTTGTATTTGGTCAGTGGCATACATTAAGTCCCTCATATACTGTATAACAGATGCTCTTACAAACAAAATTACATATCTTTTATTTTTCTTCTTTCCATTTCATTGTCCCTCTCTGAGGCTTGAAGAGTGAAGTGTTTGCTTTCAAAAGAATCAAGATCGTGTCTGTAGTCAAAGGGGTTCAAGAACTAGTATTTATATTTGGCCACATCATGTTTGTGAATTTGATCCACATGAGAAGGGTAAATCTAGGACTTTCTATTTACTTTTTGTATTTATGTACTCTTTTTGTTTTCTACAGTTCTTTGCCAGCTTGCAGAATGAGAATGATGAAAAACTGTACTGCTTCATGTAGTGATGGGTCATTTGGTAATTTCTTATCACACATGACGTCTCAGAACACACACACCTTAGATCCAATATAAAAAGCCAACTTTCTCATCTCAGTTTGAATTTCACCGTTGTCGTCTGGCTGTAAGCAACTACATCTTCAGATCTTCTCTTGCTATTGAACACCTTAAACTACAAAAACAAAACTCAGAATCTGACAAGAGACAACAATATCCTCAGGTAAGTTTGGGTTAAAGTAAAAGGTCAATATATCACATTCATCAGTGAACATTGCAGGTTTAATTTTGAAATAATTTTGCTATCTTCCTTAAAATACCACAGATTTAAAACTGTATTACATGTACAATGTAAGACATTGTGGTGAACACAGTTTTGTTATGCAACATATTCCTATTGGAGTCATACATCTAGTATTTGTGAAATGCTGTTTTGTTTCTGCTTGTTTTCAGCATCTGTTCTTCTCTATTTCTACTAGATCATCTGAGGGATTTGACTGAATCAAGATGCTGCTGATCATTGAAGCTCTTCTCATTTTAGCTGCTCTAGGACAGGTAAGCTTCTGTTCTAGTATGAATATTACAGACATGAATGCTGATGATTGATCATCATGATTCCTGTTGCTGCAGGATCACAGAACTACTGTTGAAGGGAAGATAGTTCCACTGGATATGGCACCGAATTCAGCTGATGATCAATATAAGGGCTGTAGAGTGAACATGGCAAATCTGGTGGAGACAGAATATCTAAATAAGGAAATAGCAGCATTTAAAACGTTTTGGCAAAGAGGTGCAGACTATGTCAGTGAACCAAAAGATCACTTGAAAAATAATAATTTAATCGCCATTTATGTGTACACTGATTATGGTGTATATGATGATTTAAAATACGCTGTTTATAATGATAAAGAAAAATACAACAGAAGCGATACAGATTCTGAAGAGACTACAAAATAAATGCTATGATACTTATCGTGGTACAAAAGATACATACATATATGATGATAAGGACAAAGAGGTTTGCTTTGGCTATTTTACATCCTCCTCTCTTGATCGTAGCAGAACTAAATTTTTTGGAACTAAAACTTGTTTTGAAATCCACACGTGTGAAGGTGCTGATATTACAACATATTCTAAGCTTCCTCATGAGAATGAGGTGCTTATTCCTCCATACGAGAAGTTTAAAGTCACTGCGGTCAAGAACAGAGCAGATCAGCCTGATCTCTGGTGTGAAACGGTGTTCACTTTGAAAAGCTCTGGAAAAACAAGTGAGCTGAACTGTGCAGTGGCACCTAAGGATACAGCCAAACTTTAAATCTACATTCATTTTAAAAGATGCTTGAATTATAAATATAAGATATGATAGCTTGATTCATCAATGTTATAAAATGTTTAAAGCAAATAAAAATCAGCCTTCATATTACGATGAAGTTTAGCAATTTTCAAATGCAACTCTGTACAATAATTTGGGACATGTCAAAATACAGCTAGAACCCTGGTTTTGTGATTTTGTTATTTTATAGCGTTTCTCGCTCAAAAATGAGAATTCAGCTATCATTTATGAATTCCAAACCTGTATGCACTCAAAAAGAAGAAGAATTCTGCTGCTTGTTCAATATACTTGATTAAAACAAGTTGATGCAACACAATTCAATGTAATTTCATTATGTTCAGCCAATGTATAAGACATCACTCCTAAAAGTCTTTGTATAATCCAGTTATCAATGCACTCTCTTCACGTTAAAATACTGTCTATATGAAAAGCAGGACCAACCTTCTGGATGAGAAGATATTAATGTAGGTGTTGATATGAATGTCACAGCTAGTTATACGAGGGAGATTCATGTGTATTATGTTGGCCAGTCTCTGAATTTCATGGCATCTGTGTAAAAGGCAACATATAAAGCACATAAACATGTTCAGCCCTCTCCCCGAGAAGGGTATAACTGCAGCCTGGACATCTCCAAATGGGGGCGGGAACTCCAAAACGGGGTGGTAGCTCCAAAATAGGGCGTGGCTTCCTCCCATTGACAGACAGGCACATGACACGCAAGCACAATTTTTTCCCCAATCCACTTCAGTGCAAACTCTGCCCCACTGCTGATTCTAAAGATTTTATTGGTTGTGTCAATTAAAGTGTTGATTTCCTACACTATGCTACAAAAAAATAAACGCTAATGCTTAAACCTACCCCACACCTGGCCCTAACCTTAACCAGTGAAATTGACTGCACGGCGGGATTGGCGCTGAATAGCGTGGTAAAGAAAGTTGCAGTTCAGGAGATAAACAGCTGTGCGCCACATTTTCGGCAAAGGGCTTTCTCCAGGAGACTCGGGAAAGCACGTATCCAGTGAGTCCACAACATTAGCAGATTTGGCATAAGCATGCATACGTTTAACACTCTCAGATTTCGAGATGTCATCCACCTCCATTCTGACGTCCCACCGCAATTCTAGAATCCAAACACGTGCTGTAGCCTATCCAGTGAATAGTCGTTGTCGAAAAGAGGAAAAAGCTCTCAAAGATATATACAAACTCACTAATCACAGTACAATAAATATATGGAGAGCATAAAGTGTATAAAATCAACGCATTAAAAAAAAAATGAAGTCTTCGGGGAGGAGGAAAATCAAGTTTTGCACAAAATTCAAGTAAGAGCAAAGAAAACGTGACCTACACCGACGCCATCTTGAAGACGCCTACAGCTCGAGTTCCTGAAGAGGAACTGCACTTTCATATCCTCAAACAAACATGTGTTTGGTTCCCTTGAGACTTCTTCTATCTCTGCTTATCTCGAGTTCAGGCTGGTGGTCTTTTCCCACTCCGGTTCCCTTTTACTCTCTTTACTCTGTTTCCTGTCTCATTTCAAACCGCCCTATCAAATTAAGCCAGAAAGGCCAAGAATTTAAAATACTTTCTTTTATCAGAACTTTACTGTTTCTGATATGATTCATTGATTCTGCTGAACAAATTCTCTGTATGATGTAACAAATGCTAAAAAGCAAACGTTTCTGTTTGGACACAATTTTGGACTCTTTTGAAAGGTAACACTTCACTCCTCAAGCATCAGAGAGCAATGAAAAATAAAAACTCTGGAAATGTCAGTTTTGTAATGCTGACCAGGAAGAATGTCTGTTATACAATATAAGTGGGACTCCAGTATTGCATGGTTCAGGTCACTTATTTTCCTTACAGGTGTCAGATAAGAAAAAAGGATACAAATGAGCCATAACGGACATATTGATATATGCCGATTTTAAACCACAATCATTTAATTTCCATTTCCACAGACTTTAATATTCTTCTATTACACTTTTGTGTCTGGAGGAATATCATTCATTGTCTGAGACACAAATGTTTCCAGTTAATTCTGAATGCTAAGATGATGTATTTCTGTTTTTAAATGATAATAGTTCCTAAAACTGTTTTATTGCTTCAATCCGGATAATTCTGCAAGTGTAAACTGAATAGTGAAATCACATGCCTGTTAGAATATGAATACATTTCATGAAATTGATTACAGAGATGTTTTTTTTTTCTAAAAATGTTAGAAAGTCCTAGACAAAACAATAGTTGGCGGTCAAGCACACACTCTTAAGCACACTCTCATACTTTAAGTATGCAGTACTAAGTATTGCAACAAGTATTTCTCCGTGGTCTCTGATTTGTGCACAATATACACTTTCAGGAAAATTGCATCATTACATCATGTTTCATTATGCTTGTATTTGGTCAGTGGCATACGTTAAGTCCGTCATAAACTGTATAACAGATGCTCTTACAAACAAAAAAAATACATGTCTTTATTTTTCTTCTTTCCATTTCATTGTCCCTCTCTGAGGCTTGAGCAGTGAAGTGTTTGCTTTCAAAAGAATCAAGATCGTGTCTGTAGTCAAAGGGGTTCAAGAACTAGTATTTATATTTGGCCACATCATGTTTGTGAATTTGATCCACATGAGAAGGGTAAATCTAGGACTTTCTATTGATTTTATATGATTATTTATGTACTAATGTATGTACTTTTTGTTTTCTACAGTTCTTTGCCAGCTTGCAGAATGAGAATGATGAAAAACTGTACTGCTTCATGTAGTGATGGGTCATTTGGTAATTTCTTATCACACATGACGTCTCAGAACACACACACCTTAGATCCAATATAAAAAGCCAACTTTCTCATCTCAGTTTGAAGATCACTTTTGTCATCTCGCTGTAAGCATCTACATCTTCAGATCTTCTCTTGCTATTGAACACCTTAAACTACAAAAACAAAACTCAGAATCTGACAAGAGACAACAATATCCTCAGGTAAGTTTGGGTTAAAGTAAAAGATCAATATATCAAATTCATCAGTGAACATTGCGGGTTTAATTTTGAAATAATTTTGCTATTTTCCTTAAAATACCACAGATTTAAAACTATATTACATGTACTATGTAAGACATTGTGGTGAACACAACATATTCCTATTGGAGTCATACATCTAGCATTTGTGAAATGCTGTTTTGTTTTTAATTATCTTTCAGTAGCTGTTCTTCACTAGATCTACTAGATAATCTGAGGGATTCGACTGAGTCAAGATGCTGCTGATCATTGAAGCTCTTCTTCTCATTTTAGCTGCTCTAGGACAGGTAAGCTTGTGTTCTAGTATGAATATTACAGACCTGAATACTGATGATTGATCATTATGATTCCTGTTGCTGCAGGATTGCAGAGCTGCTGGTGCAGGATATCCATTGGATATGGCACTGAATTCAGTTGATGACCAATATGACGGTTGTAAAGAGACAATGAAACACCTGGAAAATCTAGGGAAGGAAATGTTTCTCAATGACCTTAATTTGGATTATCAAGAAGGTGAAAAAAATGCAAAGAAACCAGAAGATAACTTGAAAAAGATTAATTCGGTTTCCATTTATATGTACACTAACAATAATTCTGATGTATATCGTGATTTCAATAATGCTGTTCGTAGTGAGAAACAAAAATACAAAAAGGGACCATTCAAATGGTATTCACTTCACTTTCTGTTAACAGATGCGATACAGATTCTGAAGAAAACACAAAATAAATGCTATTTAACTTATCGTGGTACTAATGTTGAACTTGGTAAAGATGTTCTCAACAAAGAGATTCGTTTGGGTTCATTCACATCCTCCTCTCTTAATCGTAAAGTAGCACAAGATTTTGGAACTAAATCTTGTTTTGAAATTGAAACTTGTGAAGGTGCTGATGTGATCAAATACTCGAAGTATCCTGACCAGAAAGAGGTGCTGATTCCTCCATATGAGACGTTTAAAGTCACTGCTGTCAAGAAAAGAGCAGATCAGAAAGATCCATGGTGTGACACTGTGTACATATTGAAGAAAACTGGGAGAAAAAGTTACCTGAACTGTCGTGTTGATAAGTGATAGATGAGAAAAGTGGTGCAAGTAGTCATTCATTACATTTCTTCAGATTGAAAGTTGATTCCATTATAATTATAACATTTGATGGCTTGATTAATTCTGAATGCTTATCAATCTTTGCAAGTTTTGAGTAAATCAACAATAAAGCTTTGTACTGTGATATGGGGTAACAGTTAGCAATAATCTATTTCTGTTTTTGAAAAATAACACTTTTGTGCAGGAATTGGTAATATGCTGTATTTCCCAAAAAATAATTGTCTTTACCAGTTTTTACATGTAACTTCTGCAACTTCTGTCAAAAGCAGGCGTTTTAACTACATGAATAAATTATATGAAACGCATATATGTATGTATATTCTCTACTGTGCTGTCCCTATCTTCTGATTTTAAAGTTTTGCTCAATAGCTCACCTCCCAAAGGCTAATGTAGTTTTTCTTGAGGTCAAGCATGTGCAGGTTTCCCCAGCAGTGGCAGTGGTTTGGGTCCTGGAGGACTTTTTTTTCCCCTCATCCTGAGAGCTAGAGCTGATAAATAACCAAAAACAGCAGCACAGCAGCAAGTGAAGCTCTTGTGATGGACACATGAGAAGTGTTTCCACTAAAGCCATACTCAGAGAGATCTCAACAACAATCACTCAGATCACTAGTTTAGGATTGCCATGGGTCATATTGTCTTGCTGTTAAGTACTTTGTATTTTTTAGCAGGAGGAGCCAAGAGGTGACACAGACCTAATATTTTAATTAAAAACAGGCATCCAAGTTTAGTTCCAAATAAGGAAAATATATATATATATATATATTTATTAGTGGATCCTGGCCTGAGTCAGACCATCTGAAAAAAAAATAAACGTAAATAGAGCAGGAAAAGCAGCTAAGACTAGCAAACCTGCTCAGACTGGTTTAAGATTTTTACCTGCAGGGACGCTTGTTCTTTTCCCCTTATACGCTTCTGAAAATACTATGCTTTCTGCATAATTTATACTATGCCCATAGCTATGCTATGCTTTCTACCAGTGTTGGGGGGTAATGCATTACATGTAATGCAAGGCACTTAAACAGATTACTTTTTTCAAGTACCTAGTAAATTAACACATTACTTTTTAATCTACAAGAATTTACTTTTTCAAATAAGTAGCACTTTGTTTTCCCATTTATTGACTGACAGCTCTCCTGTCCCCATGCTCAGAGAAATCGGGAGTAAATGCAGAGGCATTGTGTGCACTGTGTGAACATGATGCTTACTATAGTTCCAGACTATAAGTGAACATGCATTTACTCATCTCACTTACACAAAAACAGATTCAGTATTCCTCAAAATAAATAAAAACAGTGAAATGCAAACTCAGAATACGACGCAAACCAGCAATAATTAAATGATAAATGACACAAATATCCTTAATGTAGGCCTATTTAATCCCATTTTATTAACCAATGTCTTTGCTTCTGACCTTCAATGATCCAAGTCAACCGTACTAATAAGCGAAAATGACCTTAGATAAACATAACATTAATTTCACTTTTGGTGCGAAAGGGCTTTTACATTTGAACTAAAATCAGAACTGAAAACAAACTCTAGATGAAAAACAAATAAACTCCCAATAAATGTCCAAACAGTGATTCTATCACAGCATTTATTGTGTTATATCTTGTGCATCGTTTACATTTAGCATTTGATATTGATTTGATAGGAAACATTATAATGGTTACTTATTATTGACATCATTGTACAGATTGAGAATTCATTGCACTGATTTTAAATTCAGTTGAGGTATCTGACATAATCATGCACTCCTACACCGATATATTAAGCAAAATAATTTCTGACAGTTAACATAATTTATAACGTAATTATAGTACATCATCATAACGTATTAATTATGCATGCCGCACGCAGTTAAAATAGTTTTGCCATTTATGTGCTCTTAAAGGGTCATGAAACCCCCGTTTCAGCACTGGTTAGTTCTCACCAGTTCTCAAAAATGCTAAAAAAAAAAAAAAAAAATTAAAGTGGGCGTGGTGCGCAGCGGAGAGGAGGAGGGGGAAGAGTGGAGACAGACAACACACACACAGCTTATCGTTCGGACGGTTTCATTTCGCTCCCATCGAGTTAAAAACACAAATATTTATTGTGTTATATCTTGTGCATCGTTTACATTTAGCATTTGATATTGATTTGATAGGAAACATTATAATGGTTACTTATTATTGACATCATTGTACAGATTGAGAATTCATTGCACTGATTTTAAATTCAGTTGAGGTATCTGACATAATCATGCACTCCTACACCGATATATTAAGCAAAATAATTTCTGACAGTTAACATAATTTATAACGTAATTATAGTACATCATCATAACGTATTAATTATGCATGCCGCACGCAGTTAAAATAGTTTTGCCATTTATGTGCTCTTAAAGGGTCATGAAACCCCCGTTTCAGCACTGGTTAGTTCTCACCAGTTCTCAAAAATGCAAAAAAAATAAAATAAAATTAAAGTGGGCGTGGTGCGCAGCGGAGAGGAGGAGGGGGAAGAGTGGAGACAGACAACACACACACAGCTTATCGGTCGGACGGTTTCATTTCGCTCCCATCGAGTTAAAAACACAAATAAATGCACAGCCATTTGCTCTCTGCATCGAATATGAACGCGCTGTTGCACCTCTGATCACTTTTAAGGCTTATTCTGTGGCGTTTATATAAGCCTTTAGACAGGTTGTGTCACAGAGCTATAAAAACGGTGCTCATCAAGGGAATGAATCGCGTTTGTGCCGAACTCTTATTACAAATCAAAAACACTCTTCTTAGATCCATGAACTTTTCTCTCAGTTATTGTGCGCGATGTCATCTCACAGTCTGAAACGTCTGTCATAGCAAATCAACGCATTAGTGTTGGGTCGTTCTTGAACAAATCTTTAATGTGACTCGGGAAGAACGAGTCGTCTCGGGAGGTGATTCGTTCAGTCGCGCATGCGCAACATCCTTTAGATTCTGTCTAGAATTAGTCAAGTAGTTCACCTGTTTCGAGTCTTCGGGTCTTTCGAGTCGTTCATCACGTGACAGACCCATACGCTTACCCTATGCAGTCTGAGCCGGAAAGAGACTATATAGCCAACTCTTTATTACCTTTGTTACAACATTCAGTGTTATGGAAAAGAACCATCATGACAGAAATTCACACATTTATAAACTAAGAAGTAAAAAGCTACAATTTGAGACCAGAAACGCATCACGTAACTGTAAGAGTAAATAATAATTATAATAATGATTATAATAATAATAATAACAACTATGCACCCTTTTGTAAGGAAGCTTGTAAATTAACTAATTTCTCTATCCAATGCTGTCACGTCACGTGACAAAAGAACGAACGATTTGAAAGACTCGAGAGATAATAATAATTATAATAATTTGTTGCATTTATATAGCGCTTTTCTAGGCACTCAAAGCACTTTACATTGTCAGGGGGTATCTCCTCATCCACCACCAGTGTGCAGCATCCACCTGGATGATGCGACGGCAGCCATAGTGCGCCAGAACGCCCACCACACACCAGCTCATTGGTGGAGAGGAGACAGAGTGATGAAGCCAATTAACAGATATGGGGATTGTTAGGAGGCCATGATGGTCAGAGGCCAATGGGCAAATTTGTCCAGGATGCCGAGGTCACACCTCTACTCTTTTCGAAAGACATCCTGGGATTTTTAATGACCACAGAGAGTCAGGACCTCGGTTTAACATCTCAGCCAAAGGACGGTGCTTGTTGACCGTATAGTGTCCCCGTCACTATACTGGGGCATTAGGACCCACACAGACCGAGCACCCCCTGCTGGCCTCACTAACACCTCTTCCAGCAGCAACCTAGTTTTCCCAGGCGGTCTCCCATCCAGGTACTGACCAGGCTTAGCCCTGCTTAGCTTCAGTGGGCAACCAGTCTTGGGCTACAGGGTGATAAGAACTAATCAATTCTCTTTCCGGCTCAGACTACATTGGTTAAAGGGGTCATATGATGCAATTTAAATTTTTCCTTTCTCTTTGGAGTGTTACAAGCTCTTGGTGCATAAAGAAGATCTGTAAAGTTGCAAAGACTAAAGTCTCAAATCCAAAGAGATATTCTTTGCGCTGTGGATCGCCGGATCGGCTTTCACCGTGGACGAAGTAGAGTCCAGCCCGGGGTCTTCACATGTGGTTGCCGCTCCTTCGTCAAATCAGCTGGGCGCACCATTCTCGACCCCACCGCCTCTGCTCACTCTAGCCAGGCCTCAGCTCACGCTAGGCCGCCGTGTTTTTTGTTGTGAAAGCGAAACTACTTTGTTTGGTCTGCCAAAAGAGGACACGACTACAAATCAGTGGTTAAGTTGTATTTACAACACTGTTCCAGAACACTTCAAACCAAATATTCAGATGTGTGCAGCACATTTTATGGAGGACTGTTTCCTGATCCTGGGAGAGTAGACTACAATGCCGGCTGTTCTGACTCACAGATTGTAAGTGCGCTTTCATTTAAAGGATTTGCCACTGATGATTCAAACGCGAGTTTTGAGCAGTGTAGAGTAGCACTTGTTGTTTGTCATTTCTCCGATCACAAATGCAGACAAGGTTTTATGTTTACGCGGCACGATGCAACGTAATGCGTAAAAAGACAGTATAAGTCATTATAATCAGTAATTATGTCCCCACTGGATGCAACAAATGCCTCGTTTGTAATGGGTTTTAATGTTTTTGTCTTGTCGCTCCGGCCGGGGCAGGGCATTACAATATGGTGAGGGGTGTAACATTTCCGTCACACGCTTGAGGTATTCGGCCAATCACAACGCACCGGATAGCTGGCCAATCACAGCACACCTCGCTTTTCAGACCGATGAGCTTTGTAAAAATCGACGCGTTTCAGAA